GCCAAAGTCGGACGCTTAACAGACTGAGCCACCCAGGTGCCCCACATCTCATTAAACTGTTAATTTTGGATGCTATTGCTTATAATCGGTACCATAAGCGTGTACCCCTTAAGAATGAAAAAAAAAATTTTTAGGACACCGTTGATTCTAAGATAGATGTCAATTTCAGAGTCGTTCAAGTGCAGAGGGATAAAAAGTGCAGCTTTTATTTTATTATTTTATTATTTTTTATTTTCTTAAATATTTTATTTATTTTTGAGGGAGAGAGAGAGATAGCATGAGCAGGGGAGGGTTGGAGAGAGAGGGAGACACAGAATCCGAAGACAGGCTCCAGGCTCGGAGCTGGCTGTTAGCACAGAGCCCGACGCGGGGCTCAAACCCACGAACCATGAGATTGTGCCCTGAGCTGAAGTCAGACGCTTAACTGACTGAGCCACCCAGGCACCCCAAAAGTGCAGCTTTTAATCCATGAGTCTGTTAAGGATGCTCTGGTCCTTTATTTCTGACTTGGCCCCTTCCTGGCTATGAACTGTCCCTTCAAGAATCCCTGGGTGGTATCAGTTGAGCTGGATACATCTCCCACCTGGCCCAGAGCCAGTCTCATGGCTCGTATTCCTGTTGGGTCGGCTCCAGGCAAGGGAGTCTAGCCCTATCTGCTCAGCTGGTGCCGGGGGTTCAGGCTTCCCCTGGGTTTGGCGGCTTGTAACCAGACCTGGTGTTGATCTTCCCAGCCTGTGGCTGTGTGGTCACCTGACCTTGTCATCTCTGGTGACTGCTGTGCTGCTTTCTGATTCGGCCTGTGTGTTTGATTGTTTGCGTGGGTAATAAAAGTGATTTGTTTGAGAGAAGTTCCTAAGGAGCAGCATGGAAGAAAACAACTTGACCAACGTCCAGTGTAATTTCCCCACGCAAGTGGGCAAAGGACAGAGCTCGACAGTCATTTCCTGGTCTGTGTAGGTCTCGATCTCCAGATGAAATTTGGAGTCGTTCCTTCTAAGTGCACCTTTTCTGTGATTCAGGGAAGAGCTGGGCTTGTTGGGAAAGGTTAGGCCTGACAGCACGCTGACCCCAGGGCCTTGGCAGACACCGGCAGGGACTAGTATAGGTGTTTATGTTGACTGTATCCCTTACCTACGGGAGAGTGACCATCCGAGGCCACCATGGAGAGAAATAGGGCCCTGGAGACAGAGGAAATGGAATTCAAATCCTGGATGTCATTTCTTCGTTGTATGGCCCTGACCAGAAAGTTGGTCTCCCTGAACCTCCACAGCTCTGGAATAACACCTGAGTGGCTGGAAAGTACCAGAAATAGCAAAGAGCACTTGGCCAATGCTCAAGGAATGGAAGTACCAAATGCAGAATGCCTACTGTGAACCTGCCACTGTACAGACACAAAGTAAACACTACTTGCGCGGGAGAAGCATTATTGCAGCATTTATATATATAGATAGATCTCAGAGCTCCAAGAGTTACAAGCTGTGAAGCGGCCAAGTCTGTAGTCAACCTTGAGGCTACTGCAGCCTCAGCCAGCACTTCTGCAAAGTCCTCTGGGCAGCAGGCCCTGGGGTGAGAAACTGGGCCAATCTGCTCTCTGAACACCCTCCTAATGGGCCAGATGGGGCCCGGCCCAGAAGGCTGGGTCTTTTGCCAGGCGCTGAGCAGCGTGGCCCAGACATTCTGAGGGAATGTCGCACAAGCTGGGTGGGTTGGCTCTGGGCCTCCCATCCACATTCCCCAGCACAGGGTGTACTTCCTGCTAACCAAGGGCTAGTCTTTCATCGTTCCAAGGAGCAGTCACTGTGACCCAAACGCCAGGGGCAGAGTCCTGAGGCTACAGGACCCCCTCAGGGGGAGGCATTTGCCTTCTTGATGAGGCAGCAACGTCTCAGGCCAAGTGACAGGCAACAGGGCATCCGTGAAAAGGCCAAGGAAGTGGTGTAGAAATGAAGACTGAGGGATTGGAGGAGGAGAAAGGGGCAAGACCATTTCTGCTGGGGCAGCGTATCCGTGACCACCAAAAAGAGGCCGTCGATGTGATGGGTCGGAAACGCAAATATCTGCAAGAATTGGAACGTTGTGAACTTCAGTAAAACCAGTGAAACGGGCTCCCGTCCCCAAGCAGGTGACAGTGGACACACTGATGGGCTGCGGGCGCTTGGGGCACAGGCCCACGGGGGTTCGCTTTCTCTTCTGAGCTCAACTGGTATCGTTCAAGCTTGAAACCTAGAATTTCTGGCAAATCGTCTTAGGGGCCTTAGAGGTTGGGGAGACCGTTGGGGAACGCAAGGCAACGGGGGCCTGTGTTCCCCAGCAGCGTCTCCAGCTACTGAAGAAGTGTGAAGGAAGTGGGGTGCCTGCGTGGCTCAGCTGGTCGAGTGTCCAACTCGTGGTTTCAGCTCGGGTCATGATCTCATGTTTTGTGGGATGGAGCCCTTGCAGCACGGAGCCTGCTCGGGATTCTCCCTCTCTCCCTCTCTGCCCCTGCTCACGCCGTCTTCCTCAATATAAACACACTTTTAACGCCTGGGTGGCTTAGTCGGTTAAGCATCCGACTTTCGCTTAGGTCATGATCTCACGGTTCGTGGGTTCGAGCCCCGTGTCAGGTTCTGTGCTGACTGCCAGCTCGGAGCCTGGAGCCTGTTTTGGATACTGTGTCTCCCTCTCTCTCTGACCCGCCCCTGCTCACACTGTCTCTCGTTCTCTCAGAAATAAAACATAAAAAAAAATTTTTAAAAACCAACCAACCAAACAAAAACTGCTCATTGTCGTCACTGTATTACATGTGTTCCTAAACAAAGTCTAGGGTTTATTTTCAGAACAGAAGAGCGACTCCCCGTGGTATCACAGGTATGTAAAGTTCCTAGCTTCGATCACCTCTAAGAGAAACCACAAGGGTCATCAGAATGGTAGTGTCTGATAGGGAGTTAATAAAGGTGGAATTAAATTGATCTTCCTTCCCCAATCCCAGCCTCAAGCTTTTTCTCCGACTCAACTGTTAAACCCACCAAAATGCCAAATCACAACCACACGCAGCTACCTGTAGTATAAATAAATCAATCTGCCCCATTCGAGGCAGGTATTTTGCTTTTGGCTAAGAGCCAGCTTTCCAGAGCCAAAGACAGGATGGCATTGCCTGCTAAGCTCCACTCCTCCTAAACATCTTACCACACACGCAAGCTGAAGTCACGATGACCACTTTTCCAGGGTGCACTTTACTGCTGACAGCTCTTCCTCCCAAGGGGATTTAAAAACAAAAAAAACCAGTATACTCCGAACTGATGCTTTACCAAGTCCTCTGCACCCAGGGGCCAGGGGCCACTGCCTCACCCCGGAAGCACACAGGCCAGGATGCCACCCTGAGGGCAGGACAAACCAGCTGACTCCAGCTTTACTGTCACAAGTAGGCAGAGGACTTCAAGGATCATAAGGGTAAGATTTGCCGACCTCAGATCAAGTTACAGGTCTGTGGGTCTCACTTTAAATCATCTGAAATGGTGAAAAAGACAGTGCGGCTACGTGTGAGGCCCCCAGGGGGCAATGAATTAGGAAATCACATCTCAGCATGAACGCTCTCTTGCCAGTTCTCCAAATGGCACGCTTCTGGCAAACGGGAGGAAGCGGTATCATTCTGATAAAATCGCATCGCTAGAATCTGAACCAACCACATCTCCCCTGCCTTCCTGGGGTCGCTCGGTCCAAAGCACTACCATCCTGTTCTCATCTCCTTCTCCACACACAAGTAGAAAATGTACGCCTCTGTCCACTGGACTTCCATCCCGCAATCGCCCTTCACCCTGGCGCTGTGGTTTTCACATGGAGAGTAGCAAGTAATCTGACCTCAGAGAACTCATCTTCTAAAAACGCGATTTTTACTGGATCACATACTTTGCTCGGAGAGCAAATAATTTAATATTATGAAGAATAAGCAACGGTGTCTTATCATTTTCAAATTATAAAGCAGACACGTTACAGAGTAAAAAAAAAAAACAAAAAACAACGCAACAGGTTTAAAGTGAAGATGCTTTGTGCTACTTTCTGTAAAACAGGTGATTCCCAAGAAGTAACTTGGGCACATTTCTTTTTTTTTTTTAATTTTTAATGTTTATTTTTGAGAGAAAGACAGAGTGTGAGTGGGGGAGGGCCAGAGAGAGAGGGAGACACAGAACCTGAAGCAGGCTCCAGGCTCTGAGCTGTCAGCACAGAGCCCGACACGGGGCTTGAACTCCAGAACCATGAGATCATGACCTGAGCTGAAGTTGGCCGCTCAACCGACTGGGCCACCCAGGCGCCACGCTTGGGCACATTTCCATCTGGCTTTCAAATTTATAACTTCTACCCTTCAGAGAGCTGACTGTAAGAACTTTCAAATAATTTCTCGGTGCAAACAATCACATCAAGAGCACACGTGGCTCATCAAAGTTTTGCTCATTTGGCCTCCTCACAAGGCCCAAGCCACCAGACTTTCCTTTGACTACTTTATTTTTTCAAAATGTTTTTATTTATTTCTGAGAGAGAGATAGCATGAGCAGGAGAGGGTCAGAGAGAGAGGGAGACACAGAATCTGAAACAAGCTCTAGGCTCCGAGCTGGCTGTCAGCACAGAGCCCAACGCGGGGCTCGAGCCCATGCACCGTGAGATCATGCCTTGAGCCGAAGTCAGACGCTGAACTGAAATTCTACATATGTATGTCATCCCCACCCCCAACGTGGGGCTCGAACTCACGACCCTTAGATCAAGGGTCGTCTGCTCCCCCGACTGAGCTGGCCAGGCGCCCCAAGCTCTGCTGTGCTTCTAAAGAAAGCATTCATTACTCCGGCAGTTCCGCCAGGACACACGAACGCGAGGCGGCCGCGCCCTGGAGGCAGGAACCCCAGGGCAGGGGTGGTACTTGCTGCTCGGCGCCCTCCTGGCTTCGCCCGCTGCAGTGCATCCTCGGTCTCACTGCGGAGACAGACGAGCGCGCAGAACCTCCCCCCATGCTTCAGGAACGTTTGCGGGAGCAGTTTTGTACAAGTCTTTAATTAAAAAAAAACTCAAAAATATATCATCGAGCATTTTACATAATGTATACATTCTTATATCTGCAGGTACGATAACTAACAGAAGGCAAAAGCAGATAGACTGTATTGCTTCTCTTTGGCAAATGACCAATAATATCACCCCCTGCAGAAATATACGATACGTGTAAAAAAACAAATTAAAAAAAAAAACCAGAACAAAACATTACCATGGTCTTAGAACTGTCCCTTAGCACAAACGACAAAATATTTAGCACTACTACAGTAGATGGATTTTTCCGATGGACTAACATCTGTACTACTTTACAGCACGGGCTGAAGTGGCAAGCTGCCTTGCCAAGTTAAGGCTGCAGTGACAGTGACGGGGACGGGGGCACGACAGGGCACACATGGCCCTCTGGTTAGACCCCGGCTCTGTCTTCTATTTAATAATACCACACAGGGAAACAAAATGCTTTCCCTAGGGGTTTTACTTGTAGGTCAGAGGTCTGACCCCCACCCCCAAGCAAATCTGCATTTTTTTATGAGGAAATTCAGCTTTCTTCGGCCAATATTTACCATCTAACTCAGTGGCCCAGAATAAAAAAAAAAAAATCTCTTCCACTTTACAGCAAAGATATATACTGTGGATCTACCAAAGCAATATATACATGTTGGAACTAAACGTTAAAAAAGCAAAGGGTCCGTTCAACACATAGCAGCTTATATCTAAGTATATACACGTATGTATATGTTTTCACAGTTAAATTTTAGAAAAAAAAATTTACATTTGATATGTTTGGAAATACTTCTCCTATAGTCTATAAATAATATTTTAATATGCTCTAATGACCAAAATGCACTACAAGAATGTATCAAATTAAATAAGTTCTTCTAAACCTTGAAAAACAGACACTTGAAGTCGGTCAAGCTTGAGGTCTGTGTCGCGTGTGCTCGCTCAGTCCCCAGCGCCAGGAAGACAGAGCCCTCTAAACACGGTAGGAGAGAAACTCCAGCACTTTGGAAGGAATCGGCAGCTCCTGGACTTCGCGGGTGGGCATCACTCTCCTGATCGACATCCGACATAAGTGTTGAAGGCTAGGGACTTGCCTTGGAGTGGCCCAAAAATACACACTTCCATCCTGCGTCCTAAACAGAAACAAAGGAGGTCATCTGCTCAGTCACGCACGTACACGTATTTATTTATTTATTTATTTTTTCATGTTAATTAGTTGATTTTATTTTATTTTATTTTTTACACGTACACGTATTTAAACATCCCACAGCTCAAACAACTATCATCCAAGGTGTGTATGAGAATTACAAGCTACACGTTAAAACCTAATTTAAAAAAAAGTTTTTGTAATGTTTTTATTTATTTTTGAGAGAGAGAGAGAGAGTGTGAACAGGGGAGAGGGAGGGAGAGAGGGAGACATGGACTCCAAAGCAGGCTCGAACCCATGAACCGTGAGATCGTGACCTGAGTCGAAGTTGGACGCCTAACCAACTGAGCCCCCCAGGCGCCCCCATGTTAAAACCTAATTGCAAAGACCTGAAAGGTGATCTCCTCTCTGACAAAGTAAGAGTATCATTAAGAACCCTTATGGAAGATTTAGTGACAATAAAATACTGGCTGCTTTGTCAAAAAGCCACCTCAAATTAAATTGCCTCTTAAAGAAAAGAGAAAAATCTATTTACCCAGCAGCTAAAACACTGCCATCAGTAGAAAAGGCACAGCAAAGACCATTGCTCAAAGGTGCAGCTTGAACTGGATAATCCTCATCGATTCTCCAGAATCTCACCATTCTAGAAAGGAAAGAAATCGTCCAGTGAGTAACAGGCTCCAGTGGACACAAGTGACCATTTTTACCATCTTCTCCACTTTGAAAATGTTCTTCTGCTTTAAACTTTACAAGGCTTTACTGGAAAAAACCTCTGTGGGCTAAAAGCTCATTAAAACCCTCTCCGGCTTGCTTATGCTCGTTAACAGGGCGCACAGGGAAGGTGTGCGTTACCTTTAGTGCACCTGAAATGCTTCAGGCCAATATTTTAAAAAATATTTTATTTATTTTGAGAGAGAAAGAGAGAGAGAGAGAGAGAGAGAGAGAGAGAGGAAGGGAGGGAGGGAGAGAATCCCAAGCAGGCTCCATGCTGTCAGCACAGACCCTGACCCCGCAAACTGAGAGATCACGACCCGACTGCAGGCCAATGTTCTTTAAGACACACAGCATCTCCCAAAGTCTTGTCTAGAGAAAGAGACATTAAGCCCCTACTGTGTAAAGGCATTTGTTTTTTTTTTTAAGCCTTGAACAGGTTTTCATTGAGTAGAAAGATGAAAGGCAACCCTTAAAAGACAGTAATGAAGAGGTCAAGTTGTAACTCACACACTTACTTATCATCGGCAAGGCTTGCAACGTGCAGTCCGTCGTGACTAAAGGACACAGATCGTACCCACCGGTCATTTGCTCCACCAGCAAATATCGGGGTAGGCGGGGGAAACAGGTGCCTGAGGTCAAATACAGGGAGGTGATCAGTGGAGATGAGGGCCACTTCCAGAGGCAAAACCACCCAGGTGCAAAGCACACCTGTCTCTGAATGTTTAACTCGGCCTCGACAAATACAACGGACGAGCCAAGGGAGAGCTGATAGGTTCAAACTCAACGAAAGGAACCTTAAAAGAATTCCTAAGCTCCTTTTTACAACGTGGTTGAAATCACTAAGATTAACTCCAACCTCAGGTTCAGCTCTTTTCCCGGACACAAAACTCTAGGTATAACTACCGTTTCTACAGAGACATGACGATAACATGATCTGTATCGGGAGGGTCAGATTTATTTTTAGAATGTATGTCTAAAGCTCTGCATTTTTCAAGGACTTAAACAATACTGCAACTTAAGAATTACGACAGAATGCAATTTTAGGTTCAGCATGTTAGTGATTCCAATCATTCATGTCACTTCTGAAGAGCTATGCCGACAAGCCAGAGAGGAATTAGCACAGTCAGGTCGTGCCGTACCCACCCAAATTCCATCAGAATGTCTCCAGTATGTGGATCCCAGATATACACTCGGGTGTCATAAGATGCAGTAGCCAGTAATGCTCCATCAGGAGAAAAGTCACAAGCTACGACATCATGGTGATGTCCTTCTAGCTTCCGTATCATGGTGTATTTATCCATGTTCCAAAGGAAAACCTGCAATAAAAAGGCAAATGTTATAGCTTCATTCGGACACACAGAGGACAAAATGGCACAACTTAAGCTAAAACTGCTACGTTTAATTAATGTTACATTAAATTAAACATTATAAAAATTATGAATAATTAAAAGAATATGCTCAGTGTCATAGTCAGATTAAAATGTCTTTAAGTTAATTAAAGTAGACATGCAAATTCTATTTCAAATATTTCTGTTAAATGTTAATTTAACAATAAGCCTGAACATAAAGAAGGCAATGCAATGTAACCACAAAGTTATACTGAAATCCATTTATTCCAAAAACTAATTAACTAAAATATTCAGAAATAAATAGGGTTAAGTACTACAAACCCCCTTCTTTAATTTTTGCCAGAAACTACCCAATTTTTAAAAAATATACAGACAGAAAATGTAATGTTAACAAATTGTTACTCCATTGGCATCTCCCTTTGAGAAAATCACTTGTTTACAATAGGCTTGGGTCACCAACGTGAGCCTAGGAAGAGAAACAGATACTGCAAGCAAAGAGAATTTTCACAGCCAAATGCAATTTCTTTGGCAAACAACAACGATGTTAAACCACATCACAAAATGAGAAAACTAATTTATGAAAATATTACAATTAACAACATGTCTGCGAATCAAGATTTGCCAATCGTATTTTTCCCATACTGACCAGAGTATCATTAGTCAATTAAGGCATAAAACATTTAAATTACTTTAGTACAAGTCTACATCTACTTTTCGATTCTATAAGACCAGTACTGGGACTGTGCAGAAGAGTTCTGAATAATAGGGTTCGAACGTTTACTTCAGTCTCGTTATAGCAAATGCGAACTTGGAGGTTTGGAAGGATCCTGATAAGACAACCTCTCCTCTTGGAGTAAAGCAATCCGTTTTGCTACTTTGTTTTATGCACAGACACAATAGATCACTTCCAGAGAAAAAGAAGTACAAATTGTAAGTGGGATCAAAGACTTAAGGTATCTCTAAACATCGCAAAGAATTCCAAAAAAAATAGCACAGAGAAACCATCTGAAAGCCAATGACATTACATTAAATTGGTTTCACGTGTCAGACTCCCAATTCTTCGAGACTGGAAGATCAATTTACTCGGAGGAGTCAGTGGGGTTCACTGCAGGGGGGAGGGGGGAGATTACTTTAAAAAAGACAAAAAGAAAAGAAAGAAAAGCAGAAAGTGGACATCGACCAGCACCTGTGTACGTACAGTACACCTTGCAGCCGAATGCAAGGTTACTTCATCCTATGGTAAAGGTCGCCCCCAGCCCGGTAGCCAGAGATGCCACTCTTTCTGCCCAGCTAACACCATTGTGCGCCTGTGTGCGAGTGGTGCCAGCATAACCTCAATCACACCAATATTGCTGCCACCACCTGTGACAGGGAAAGCAAGAAGCATATGGAAAACACACAGCCTAAAATAGCAATGTCAATATCTAGCTTTGTTCTTCTTACGATCTTTAAAGAACCGATTACGTTTTTTCTAAACTTCAACATTTGCAACTATCATTTAACATACTTCTTGGCTACATAAAATGCATTTATAACCAGCCTCCCACCTCCCCCCCCCATTAATTCAGCATATTGTTTGTGAATATCACATGTATTTGGACTCCAACAATTTTCATAAACCTCTGAAGCTAATTACCATCTAGTAAACTATACTAAGTCAGAGCTGGCAGACAACTAAAGGAGAGCTCGTCAGTAAACCGAGTCACTTTATACTTAATCTGTCTACAGGTAGGCTCTGCAAGACAGACCACGTTAATTCATCTCTAATTCACTCTAGACATATACGAGTGCTATTTTCATTATTAGGTCTTTAAGTTACTTTTTTTCAGTTAAATGTCCAGGACCAGCTGGGACTCAAAACTTTTTAAACAGCAAACTGGACAAGAAAAAATAAAACAACAGAGAAGAACATAATTAGCGGGAATATCTTAACATTTGGACTAGATCTCTTCTGTAGCACATAAACTTCCCTAGATCCTAGAAACAAGCAAATTTGACATACCCCTTACTTTAAGAAGATGAACTCTAACTAAAAGCAATCCAATTTCTCACTCCACCATCAGTAACTATATTTAATTTCCCTCATGCAAATTCTCCCCCATCATGAAATGAAACATTTAAGATATTCATGACACCGAGCAGACCTAATAGGTTACTTAGCGATTATGCACACATTATTATCCAATTCACAGTGAACGTCCAAGAACTTTGATACATACTGCTTTACTGGCTCCCACTGAACACAGCATGGATGAGTCAGGAGAGAATGCACAGCTATACACCCAGTTCTGATGGCCCCTCAATACTTTCATCATGTTTCCTGAGCAAAAAGAAATTACACGTGTTATTAGCGTTAACCCCGGAGTTCACTTCCAACAAGTAGTGTTTCAAAAACGGCAGAATCCTAGAATCACAAACATCTACAGCGGCAGCGACGTAGCTCTAACAGGGTTTGGACGCCGTACACCAGTTGCTTGTGCCGGCAACAGTCTACTGGAACACAACACGCCCACTTGTTTATGCTGTGCTACGGAACAACAGCAGCCAGACCCTGGTCCACAGGCCCAAGATATTTCCCATCCGGCCCTTTGGGAGAAAGTCTGCTGACCCTTCATCTATAGAAGACAGAATTCTTTTAGTCTAAGTGCCTTATTCTACAAATGAAGAAACTGCAACACTTCAAGGCTGAGACTTGAGAAACACCTTCGAAATACTTTTCGTCCGTCTTCCTTTTTGATAACCTACATTCCACTCCTGGAATTATGCCTAAAACACACAATCATGCCTACGTGTATCGTAACTCTTACTCTTACAAATACTTACTGGACGCCTACTGTATGTCAGGCACCGAGGACACGGCTGCGAATAAGACAAAGTCCCTACTCTCTCGAGCTTACAGTTAGTTTACCGAGTCTACATTCTTAACACATAAGCACACTGAAAACGTGCTGAGAAAGCAAGTAGTATGTAATATGCAAAAGAAAATAAAAATTGAATTAGTTATAACTGATCAGAACTCTCTTCATCTCTCAACAGCTAGCAGTCAGCCAACGATGAGATGCAGAGGAGGTCCGTCATGCTTTCGAAACATCAGCATCCTATTTTCTCAGGCAATGGTCATGACCCATCAGCCCGAACCAGTCTCTGCACCCGAGGGTTTTGTTTCCTACTACATGTAAGTTGCAACACCTCTGAGCAAGCCCTTGACCTCCAGCTTGAGGTTTTTGGAGCACTGAGACTTCCTATTTAAGTGTAAGGTGTTAGCCCAAACTGTAAACTCTTTCAATAGCAGCTACGAAGGAGGAAGAGATGGTCCTCGCTGGTCCTCTCAAATAAGGTAGCCTCTCCAACTCTGTAGGCACTGCAACTATCAAAGTTGCAGAAAAACTGGAGTACTGGAGCGCCTGGGTGGCTCAGTTGGTTAAGCGCCTGACTTTGGCTCAGGTCGTGATCTCGCAGTTCGTGGGTTCGAGCCCCGTGTCGGGCTCTGTGCTGACAGCCAGCTCAGAGACTGAAGCCTGTTTCAGATTCTGTCTCTCTCTCTCTCTCTCTCTCTCTCTGACCCTCCCCTGCTCACACTGTCTCTCTCTTGGAAATAAATAAAACATCAAAAAAAAAAAAAAGAAAAACCTAAGTACTTAACACTAACATACCTTTCATTATATTGGAGAGTTAGTCTTCTTTTTTTTTGATAATTTGTTGCTCAACCTATCCAACTTATTATTATGCTTAATAGCACTTAGGTATTACAGATTCCAGTATGTAAATCATATTTTAATCTATATTTGATTCGATTACTAAATTATGTATTCGTAACTTCAAAGAAATTTTTGCTAAGTAAGTGAAGGAAGTTAATAACCTTCCCTAAGATGAAAGAAATAAAAACAACACAGACCGGTTCATACAAAACCCTAAAACGGACCCAGATTTTGTCCTCAAATAATTGATAGATCTGTGTGGCTAGTTTCTGAATAATATCCTATTGTTCAGAGAAACTGCCGGCTCCTATTATGGATCATATTTATGGTTTTGTTTGCTCTATACAGAACAGGACCAAATGATTAGAGAAAAGGAGACTTTGATCATAAGCCACTTTGAAAGTCAAACGCCCTAGATGATCGACGTCTCTTGACCACCTCTCAAGAAACTCATTATGTTTCACAGCCTGGAAAAAAGACATACCATCATCTTTCAGGTCCCACACTCTCAGAGTTTTGTCTCTTGAGGCTGATACTAGGATCAGGCTCCCATCTGGAGCAAAAGTTAAATCTCTGACCACCTCAGTATGATCTACCAGGTTAAGGAGGAGCTTTCCTAAATGCAATGGAAGAGGGGGAAAAAGACAAAGTTAGTAATTTTTATCTGCTTCTATTTTTTTTTTTAAGTAGGGTTCTTCACCATTAAAAAAAAAAATCTCGTAGAAATACTTCGTACCTCAGTTTATCAAGTGTGAGGTGACTTATTAGTGCTTTTATTATCACCTTTAAAGAATCTCTCTTTTTGGGGCGCCTGGGTGGCTCAGTCGGTTAAGCATCCAACTTCAGCTCAGGTCATGATCTCGCGGTTCGTGGGTTCGAGCCCCGCGTCGGGCTCTGTGCTGACTGCCAGCTCAGAGCCTGGAGCCTGCTTCAGATTCTGTGTCTCCCTCTCTCTCTGACTCTCCCCTGCTCATGGTGTCTCTCTCTCTCTCTCAGAAATAAATAAAACATTAAAAAAATTTTTTTTAAAGAGCCTCTATTTTTATATTGTTTTAAAATGGATTATTTGCAGGATAGCAAAGCCTAAATTTTTTTAGAGAAGTTTAAAGGGAATTCCTGAAAAGTAAACAAGTTAATTTACTATCAGGAAAACCTAATTATCATTTTTAAATCTTGGTCCAGTATGATTTTATATATAAAATCAAAATTTCCTTTTTCTTTTCCTTGGCTTTGGATTACTAACAGAATGTCAAGCCTCTCCAAAAGATGAATGTTATTTAACAATCTAAATTTTCAAAAATCAGCAAAAAAATTTACTTGACTCACCTAACATTGTATGAGCTTTGTTTTCTATGAAATTCGATGTGCTCTCTTTAAGTTTTTTCTAAGAATCCAATCAAATTTACTGACTCATTGTCCTCACTCAATATTAGTATCACTTGCTATGCTCTACCATATCGTTTTAATGCTCATTTAAAAAAAATCCTTCGTGGCTCAGTTGGTTGAGTATCCGACTTCAGCTCAGGTCATGATTTCATGGTTCGTGGGTTCAAGCCCTGTGTTGGGCTCTGTGCTGACAGCTAGATCAGAGCCTGGAGGCTGCTTCAGATTCTGTGTCTCCCTCTCTCTCTGACCCTCCCCTGCTCATGCTGTCTCTCTCTCTCTCTCTCTCTCTCTCAGAAATAAATAAACCATTTAAAAAATTCGTTTTAAAATCCTTCAAATTTTCGAGTACATACTATTGGTCAGAAACTGTTTTAGTCAGTGAACAATAGTTCACTTTTAATTACCCAAAGAATGTAACTTCTCAACCTATCTAGTTAACTTTAGATAAAATGTCCCTAAAGCCTTCCAAAGGTTAGACAATGATGGTTGAAAACCAGATTTGCCTTGAAAGCCTCCAAGCAATCACTGAAAAAGTATATAAGAAAACACCCTGCTATTTGAGTCATAAACTAAATGACTGGTTTATAAATGATAATTAACTAGATGTTCCTTAGACACGCCCTTTTCTGCTGCAATTACTCTCTGAAGGGTGATCGAGTAGTGAGAACTCTTATTTTCTTAAATTAAAACCACGAGCTGAAGATGACAACTGGGCCAATTATAAATAAAGACACATTCATAGCGTCAATACTTGCTTTTCAGGAAGTTAAAATCCTCAAATCACATCTTCTGGTGCCCGTGAGAGATGCCCTGCATCCTAAAATAATCAGGCTTCCTGTTAAAGCTGCGGCTCCATACCTGTATATACATCCCATATTTTGATGCGCCCATTGTTCAACCCTGTGGCCAGGAGTAGCTGATCTTGTCCAAATCTGAATCGATGCCATTCTATGTTGACACAGCGACTTTGTTTTTCTGGAACTGAAGATCCAAAAGCGAGACTCCAGACTATGTCACCGCAGTCTATAATATGTTCACGAGGCTTATTTTTCTGCCCACCATCACTGTTTTGTCTGGACAGTCTCAAACTGCTTGAATTGGTGATATTCTTGGTGCCGTGCAAGAGACTGAGGGGAAGAAAGGTCAGACTGAAATCTAGTTATTATTCACTCTGGACTTCTACAGACACTGAATAATGATAAATGTTTGTTAAAATAACTTCAACATAATTTGTTGAAGAGAATCCTATAGATGGGAAGGGGAAAAGCTGCTATTAGCCACAAAGGTGTGTGACCAAATAAAATCACATCAAAAGAACTTCTCAGTTGCTAAGAAAGACTAAATTCAACAATAACCAATTTATAATCTATTTGTTTCAGAATTTTCCACAAAACCATTATATCAATGAGGACTCCTTTAGCTAATGTAAAACTAGCATAAACGAGCCAGAAACGAAACAAAAACCTGATATTATAGAGCTGACACCAGAAAATTAACCTTAAAACTAACCCATAATAATCAGTAGTTTCCCACACTTTCTGGACCTAAAGTAACACGTAACTAGGACACTAATGAATATAACCAAGAAGATCAACTAGACACAAAAACCAGGGTGAGATCAAATTTAGCATAGGATAGGTTTTAGAAAAACTTTCAACAAAATACTCAAACTCAGGGGCACCTGGGTGGCTCAGGCAGTTGAGCGTCCGACTTCGGCTCAGGTCATGATCTCACAGTTCATGGGTTCGAGCCCCACGTCGGGCTCTGTGCTGACAGCTAGCTCAGAGCCTGGAGCCTGCTTCAGATTCTGTGTCTCCCTCTCTCTCTGACCCTCCCCTGCTCACACTGTGTGTGTGTCTCTCTCTCAGAAATAAATAAAAACATTTAATAGAAAAAAAAAAACACCTCAAACTCAGATAAATCCAAGCAGAGGAATTTTAAGTACATAAAGTAATTACATGATCAATGTACCACTGTTATCTAATAAAATGTTGGGAAATCCAGAAAGGGTCACATAGCAAAGGTTACCTGGCCTAGCACAACGCGATATATACACTACCAAGGAACCACGATCTTCCTGCTTTTCCATACAAAGACATTTTCTACACTGTATAAGGCCAGATACTTCTTCCCATACATTCTCCGATAAATACACTCAGCTTATGATTAAAACACATTTACAATAGTCCACCACAGAAAAACTCAAATATTACTCCACACTTAGAAGACAGTAAACCCCACCTAAGAGAAACAAAATACAAAAAAAAAAGGAAAAGAGTCTTACAAGTTCTTAAGGCACTGGGACCACGGAACAAGCTTTACTGTACGACGTCCTTGTGACCAAGCAAAGTACGAACCATCTGGAGCAAAAGCGACAGTCCAATTTTCACGACCACATTTCTTGTCAAAAGGAGCTGCTGGAGCTAAAAGTTCACCTATAGTACGTGATCTCACTGAAAGAAAAAAGCATAGATGTAGGATGTCTATATATATAACCAACAATTGAGACTGCTTCCGTATTAATTTGAGACTCTCAACTCCATTGAGTTTCTAGGCAGACAAAGTATAAGGAGTTCTGCTTTCTACCATCTGAAGGGAGATCCTTGGCGTGAAGACCCTTTAATGATAATAACTATGCTCAAGTTTTGATAAAATGATTTTCCAACTTTTCCATACCCAAAAGTTTTAGAAAGCTTCAATAAAAACACTGGTCAAGTGATAATAGGTAATATATCAGAGTTAGCAATTACTGAGTCCTGACTTTTGCATTGCCTTAGGTTTTCAGCCAATTGCTAACATTTAAAATGCAACAGACTAGGGGTGCTTGGTTGGCTCCGTAAATTGAGCGTTTTCTTGATTTCAGCTCAGGTCACAATCCCAAGGTCATGGGTTCGAGCCCTGCATCGGGCTCTGTGCTGACAGCTAGCTCAGAGCCTGGAGCCTGCTTCGAATTCTGTGTCTCCCTCTCTCTCTGACCCTGCCCTGCTCACACTGTCTCTGTCTCTCTCAGAAATAAATAAAACATTAAAAAATAATAAAATAAAATGCATTACATTTGTGGGGCACCCTGGTGGGCTTAGTCGGTTGGATGTCCAACTTCGTAGCAGGTCATGATCTCACAGTTTGTGAGTTTGGGCCCCGCGTTGGGCTCTGTGCTGACAGCTCAGAGCCTGGAGCCTGCTTCAGACTCTGTGCCTCCCCCTCCCCTCTTACTTTCCCTCCCCAACTTGTGCGTGCTCTCTCAAATAAATAAAGAAACAAACAAATAAATAAAATGCATTGCATTAGTGACTCTCAAATAGTGGCCCTCAAGCATATTACTAGCGGGCCACAAACTGACCCCAAATTGGAAGTAATTCTTTTGGTTTTCATGGACAAAGAATGAACAATTTCATATATCTCAAGTTTAGTTAAGAGTATTTAAATTTAGCCTTCATAGCAAACACTGGCATATTACCAGAGTCCACAGAAAATTTTTTTTCTGCATTTAACAAGAAGCCTGATCAACAAGCTCTTCCTCTTCATGTGTGCACGCAAACTTGGCCAGAACTTCCTCAATTTGAGGAAAAGAAGCTTCAGCAGTGTATCACCAATGCTCTCTCGGATTGGTCTTGATTTCAAATTTTGCTACTCTTCCTTTTTAGGTATAAATGACCAGTTTTGTTTCCCTATTTCGTGATTGGTTGTCTGGTCAACTCTTACAGTGTATTTTTATGGTTTTGGCTTAAACTTCCCTGCAACTAAAGTACACATGTGCTATGTATTACAGCTCAAATAAGAACTGCTTATAATGGGGCGCCTGGGTGGCTCAGTACGTTGAGTGTCCAACTCTTGATTTCGGCGCAGGTCATGGTCTCACAGTTTGTGGGATGGAGTGACAGCACGGAGCCTGCTTGGGATTCTCTCTCTTCCTCTCAAAATACATGTTTTTTGTTAAAAAACAAAACAAACAAACAAACCCAATTCTACTTACTGCTAGAACAGACACATACAAGTCCCCCAAATGTATTCATTCAGGTGACATGGTCTCAATGTGTGCTCTGTCAACAGCCAGGGGAGCACCTGGCGTGTGACAGGGGATCAGTAAATATTTATTGAATGAATATGAAACCATATGTATAAGTTCCCATTCTTAGAGATTTCAATACTTCCCTGCCCAAGTCTTTGATACATTAACGCACGAACTATGGTTTAAAAAGTGGGGGTGCCTGGATTGCTCAGTCGGTTAAGCGTCTGACTTCAGCTCAGGTCATGATCTCACAGTTTGTGAGTTTGAGCTCCACATTGGGCTCTGTGCTGACAGCCTGGAGCCTGGAGGCTGCCTCAGATTCTGTGTCTCCCCCTCTCTCTGCCCCTCCCATGCTCATGCTTCGTCTCTGTCTCTCAATAATAAATAAATGTTAAAAACAGAAATTTAAAAAGTAACACAAAACGGACCTATTTTTCTGTAATATTTATGAATGTGAATACCTAAAAAAAATTTTCCTCTTAACTCAAAAATCTTCCTCCTTGCCACTCCGTCGGCTCAGTCCCGACTGTGACCCAAGAGAATCAGCTTAAACCTGCTCTCACATGATAGTCATGTATTAAAGAGCCACGATATCAGCAACTACATCTTTTCACCAGGCTAAACTCCACAGGCCTTTCGATCATTCCGTACATTACATGGGGTCAAGTCCATTCCCCATCTTCACCTTCGTCACTTTTCTGGATAAACCGCAGTTAGTTATGGTCCTCATATAAGTGGCACCCAGAATGGAACACAGCACTTCCGGTGTGGTTTAATCCAATCAACAGAACCCTCACCTAACCCTGCCCCAATTGTGTCAGTACAGCATAAGGTGACATTAATTTCACCAGCAGTCATGACTTTCTTAGTACAAAAGCCACAAACCAGTGACCCTCATGTGCCTGCACAATGACTTCTTCTTCTTCTTCCTTTTTTTGAAATATACAAGTGATTCTTGGAAAGGGCTTGCTGCTCCTTATATGCTGTTTCCTTATATTCCTCCAAGCCCACAGTCATACTCGGTCATCTCACCATAGTAGTTCACGTGCCTGGCCCCTGAACTTGCAACCATTGCCTAAATCTTTCTTTATAACATAGGCTTCTGTAGACATACCTGTCCTTTAAAAAATCCATAAATTTTAGGGGGAAAAAAAGTTCACAAATAAGGGAAGAAAGTTTTAGTTATGTTTTTATTAAAAACTTTTTTTAAAATTTCTTTATTTTTGAGAGACAGGGAGTGAGTGAGGGAGGGGCAGAGAGAGAGGGAGACACAGAATCCAAAGCAGGCTCCTGATGTGTCAGCACAGAGCCCGACACGGGGCCAGAGTGCATGAACTGAGAGGTCATGACCTGAGCCGAAGTCAGACGCTCAACCGACTAAGCCACCCAAGGTGTCCTGGGAAGCAAGTTTTAAAATTCAACTGGGGAAAAAAAAAATCAACCAAAAAACACAAACTTTATCTTAAATAGAAAGCCCCCGGCTAAACTCGATGAGTATACTCACGTAACTCAAAAAATAGAGGACAGGCCTTTGCATTCAGCTTCAAAAACATCTGGTTAATTAGACTATAACTCGCCACTCCTATGGCAAGCATGAGCAAGACTAAGGTGCCCACAAAAGGCTCATTTCTTTTTGTCTATATTTTAATATCACTCTATTTTTCTTTTACCTTGCTGACAATCACAAAACTCCTCTTTTATAAAGGGTGGAAGTTAACAACTAAAAAACTGGTTCCAATAACAAAGACCATGAAATAATAAGCTAATTTATTCTTAAATATTCGAAATTCAAGAAATGGGGTCACTATTTTTTTTTTAAGTTTATGTATTTATTTAGAGAGAGACAGAGCTCGCGAAAGCAAGCATGTGCACCCGAGCTAGAGAGAGGCAGGGAGAGGGAGAGGATCCGAGCAGGCGCTGCTGTGTCTGAAGAAGCCTGATGCAGGGGCTCGATCCCACCAATTCTGAGACCATGACCTGAGCTGAAATCAAGAGTCAGATGCTCACCCAACTTAGCCGCCCAGGCACCCCCGGGTTCACTATTTTACAACTGCCAAATAAATAGATGCTATAATGTCACAAGTATATGGATAGTTGCCTTGGTGTTTCCTTGCTTGTTAACAGGCATATGAAATGATCTTTGCATCACATGATTCAAGCACTCATTTAAATACTTACTGGTACAATAAGTATTATCAAGTAGCCCAAGGTTATAAGAAAGTGCTTTAAAAAGTGTTTTTAAGCTAAACCTTGATTACCTGCAACTGTTTAATGGTAGTACTCTAAGAAATAAAGGATTTAATGACTCTGTATAAGGGAAAAGCTGCCTGCCACGGGAACCCGGCCATAAAATACAACACTGTATTATCTGTACAGTGGTAGTAACACACTGAGTCACGGCGGAACCAAGCGAACCAGATTTAGCTCCTTCCTCACATTCCTCCCTGCAATTTCAAACCAGAAAGGGAGGGTCTGTGGCAGCGCCCTCCAGGCACTAACCCTGTCACCTCAGGCTTCTTTAATCACTCCAGGAATCTTCCTCTCCTCTTTCAGAACTTGAGAAACCAAAGAGCTAGAATAAATACCCAAGAAAAAAGGGGAAAAGTTAAGTCCTTACTGATGGATACAAAGTTACACAGAGATAGGTGTTTAACTCTGTATCCAAACGATACTTCAAAAGAAACAAAGAAACAAAAACTGGGTTTTTTGGGGAAAAAAAAAAAGCTTAAGAAAAGGCCAAAATTCTTTTAGGTATTTGGCACTTAGCTAGTAATATAATATGATATCCAGGAAATAACAGAGACCTACCTAAATATGCAAAAATTTTAAATGAAAAGGCTGCTTGCTGGGTGGTTCTTCTACCTTATGCAGGTATGCTCGGAAGATCAACCCATCCCTTAGGAGAGGACTGGGAAGTTTTTAATTCAGTTTACCAAGATGAACTAAAACACAGATACATGAAAGATAAATCTGTGATATTATTGTGGGGCGGGAGGAAGCCCACCAGACTAAGAATGAGAACTTCTGAGCTCTATGTTCCACTTCAGGACCTGGTTAATAGACTTAAAATAAAAATGGGGCATGAATTTTGTTTCCTCTGTAAATCTAAAATAGTTCTTAAAACCAGAGGTAAAGTCCCCTCTTAACCTGCCATTCGACCTTATCCCTAAGAGAACAAAAGTCCAGATTCTAAGATTGCTGTCTCTAGATAGGAAACTTCAATCCACACACAGGACAGAGGGCCTTTTGGCTACTTGGGCTTCCCCCTTTCTCTAGAAATACCGCCTCCATCCATTTAAAGGCATACATGTAGCCGAAGGACGGAGAAAGGCAAAGGCTCTCTGCTCAGTAACCTCCTCCAATTTTCATCTATTTTATTTATTTATTTTTTATCATTTATTTACTTATTTTTTAAAGCAATCTCTACACCCAAGATGGGGGCTCGAACTCATGATCAAGTCACACGCTCCACCCACTGAGACAGCCAGGCGTCCTAACAATTTTCACTTCATTAACACTGTAAGTTCAGTGTTGGGGGTTTTTCTGGGGGTGGGGGGGTGGAGAGGATGCTATATTTATTTATTTTTTAATGAAAACCGTACATATTCAAGGCGTGTAACATGACTTGGCCAGGTCAATGCTTACTGGGCATATCAATCAACGCACAGCACCAACTCCCCGGTTAGCTGTTCCAGTTATTTTACCGGAAGAAGTGCTCCGCATCGAGCCGCCGCTCAACCTTCGGCACCCACTGCCCTGACCTCAGATGGCGGGGCTGATCTCTAGATCAGTTTCGAGACAGCCTTTCCAGAGTCCGCGCTTCCATCCAACAGCTTTCCTTCGGTCACTCCACCCAACCATTCTGCCCCTCCCTGGCCTTCGCAGTGGGACAGATCACGGAGTCTCCTTCCCGGAACCCGCTGCCTTTCTAACCGCCAGGCCATTTTTACAATTACTGCTTTTTTCCAGGCTGATTTCTCCTTTAAGAGCGGTCGATGCACACGAGGACCCCTCCCCTCTCATTACAGCTCAGAACACCCAAGTTTACTTTTCCCGTGGTAAATTTCGAGGCTTGCCCAGCCCTCGCCTGTTCTCTCCTCTCGACGCCCCCAATCGTCCTGCCCAGAGAATCCCAGGGTGATGGCAGTGCGGGGACCTCCGGAGAGGAAACTGGGTCCCCAGGGGTGGGGGCCCGCCCCCGGCCACACGGTCACTTAGGGCCCTCGGCGCCCGGGTTCCCCTGGACCCTAAGTTCCGCCCACTGCCTCTCGCCGAGCCCAAAGCTGACTCCGATTACTCCTCGGCGACACCCACCAGCGGGGCCGCTTCCTTTCTCTTCGCTCCAGGGCTTGGTCCCGGCTCACCCGTCCTCCCTCGGACTCCGAGACGTTTCCTCCTCTAGGGACTCCCTGCCTCTCCGCAGCGCCGGTGCGCTCACCAGCACCCTTCACCCCCCGTCCCATTCCTCACCGATCTCTTTCTCGTTGACCCTCGGGGGAAAGCTGGCCATCTATGGGGCACCGTCTGATTCCAGGGGCGCGATGCGGCCGCAACGACAGAAAAGCGATCGGCGAGCGCTGAGGGGCGTGACGCGGGCTCGGTCCCTCCCGGACCCGGGGGACGGCGGGGAGGGGCGGGGGCGGTGGCGGCAGCCTCTGCCGACTGCCCCGGGAGAGCTCCGAAGGCCTCGGACCAAACGACCGAGTCAAACACAGACAATAGACCCCGTTCCCTGCCTCGAGCCAATGGACCGAGACGCTTCCTCCGACGCCGCCGCCTGCAGAACAGACACTGGAGACAAAATGGCGGGCGGCGCGGGAGATAGCAGGGCGGCGTGGGCGGGGCCTCGTGACGTCACGCCCCAGACCCCGCCCCCCGACGCTCGGGACGTGACGGCCGGGCCTCGGCGCCCCGCCCTCCCTTCCCGGTTTCCGCGAGGAACTACCCCCTGGGACAGGAAGAGCCGAGAGGCCGAGGCGGATTGCTGCGTATGTGTGCGCCCGGCTGGGTCTCGTCCCATCCCTACCCCCAGCCCCGGGGCCGTGGCATCGTCTGCATCTCTAAGTTGAAGCACCTTGGAAAAGGCAAACGGGGAACTGTATACTGCACGTTAGCCCGCCGCTTAGAGATGGCACGGAACTGGGGCGCCTGGCTGGCTCAGAGCGCGGGACGCGATCTCCGGGCCATGAGTTCAAGCCTCATGTCGGGTGTGGACCCTACTTAAAAAAGATTTAAAAAAAAAAAAAGTGGGATTTAAACTGGCCGAACCGAAACGAACAAAAAAAAATGACGTTGAAGGGTTTAACCCACTTCCGCCACTTCCCCAGCCCCCACGTGCTTGATGCAAAAAAAGAGATGAGAATGGACGTCGTCGCTGCGCCCCAGCGTTGCGGGGACGGTCGTCCTGCCGTGGGCAGCGGGTGTTTGCCAGGGCCGAGGTGACCCGGCGTGCGGGCGGCCCGCCCCGCCCCGCCCCGGCGCCTCCCTGCGCCGCTTTTGCGCCGGCCCGTCGGGCACCCCCGCGGCTTCGCGAGGCGGGTGGTCGGCGCTGTCCCGGCCTCCGCGGAGGCGGACCCCGCCCTGTCATCGCACACCGAGGTCCGGGCCTCCGGGAGGCTGCCGGCTATCCACACCGCAGGGCTGATGAAAGTGTCTGCCAGAGCCACACTGGCTCCCGATCGCAGATGACATACTCGCATTTTAATGGGCCCCTCTCTGGACTCTCAGCCTTGATGGAGGACTTCTAAGCCTGGGAATTTCAAATATGTGCCAGATACCGATGGGAGAGAGAAGTTGCCTTAGTCAAACTCTTTTGAGAGATGTCAAATGACAGCAGAGGGCATGACTACTTTTTCTTTGCATGACAATTCTTCCAATAGTGAAATGTTGAATAGCAGGTAAAAAAAAAAAATCAACCCCCCTCTTTTCTTTTCGGTTAACCTATTTATGGCCAGCTTACCCTGTGCCGGGCACAGGGGCTAGTTAATGAGTATTTAGAGTAGAACAAAATACAAGTATTATTTAAAATTTTTTAATGTTTATTTATTTTTGAGGGAGAGACAGAGCACAAGTGGGGGAAGAGCAGAGAGAGAAGGAGACAGAATCCGAAGCAGGCTCCAAAAATGTGGATATTTAGGTCGTTACAATAAGGCTCAACATGTTAAAACTGAGCACACCACCTTCTCTCTCACAGTTGCTCCCTCTTTTATTGTCCCTGTCCTAGTGAACACGTCCACCCCGTTACCCAAGCCAGAGGCGGAGAGTTATTCCTTAGACTCCTCCACCTCTCCCTTAACTGGAGGAATCCCCAAGTTCGGCCAGTACTTTCTCAGAGTGATCTGGAATCGGTCCTCTCTGTTCCAGCTCAACTGTCTCTGTCTTAGTTCAAGATCTTATCTTGTCATATTGTCTCTCTTGACTATCCTTTATACCCCTACTCCCCGAGAAACCATCATCAACCATCATCAACACCTCGGCATATTTCCTTATAGTCTTTTACAAGTTGGAGTGCCTGCGTGGTGCAGTCAGTTAAGCATCCGACTTTGGCTCAGGTCGCGATCTCATGGCCTGTGAGTTTGAGGTCTACTTGGGGTGAGCTTGAACCCTGCTTCGGGTGAGCTCTAGCCCCACTTCGGGCTCCTTGCAGTCAGTGTGGGACTCTCTTCCTCACCCTCTCTCTCTCTGCACTTCATGGGATTCTCTCTCTCTGTCCCTTGCTCTTTCATGCCCTCTCTCTCTCTCAAAAAAAAAAAAAGGTAGTAGCTGTGTGTACTTCGGCAAATTATTTAGCCTTCCTATGCCTTAGTCTTCTCATCTAGAAAATGGGGATTATAATAATAATACCTACTTCATAGTTTTAAGGATTAAGTGAATTTCTTAAAAAGCCTTTAGAACACAGTCTGATATAGTGTCCAATACCAAGTGTGAGTTATGTGTTAGATACTATTTTTATATGTAGTAATCCCAGCTAACTGCAAAATTGAAAGATCCAAATCTCAGAAAATCAGGGACTGGCAAAGAGTCGTTAAAGTAGCATTAAATATATGTATAATCAAATGCTTAAATGAATGTTCTGGAAAGGATTCGTTTCCAAAACAAAGCTGACCCAACCACTAAAAACCCATTCTCAGGGGTGCCTGGGTGGTTCAGTCAGTTAAGTGTCTGACTCTTGATTTTGGCCAAGGTCATGATCTCACAGTTTGTGAGATTGAGCCCTAAGTCAGGCTCTGTGCTGACAGCCTGCTTGGGATTCTCTCTCCCTCTCTCTCCACCCCTTTCCTGCTTATGCTCTTTCTCTTTCTCAAAAACAAATAAATAAGCTTAAAAAAATTCTCTTGAATCTTATTCTTTTTTTTAAGTTTATTTATTTGAGAGAGAGAGAGAGAGAGTATACATGAGCAGGAAAGGGACAGAGAGAGAGAGAGAGAGAGGATCCCAAGCAGGCTCCACACTGTCATCGTAGAGACCAAAGTGGGGCTCAAACTCAGGAACCATGAGAGCATGACCTCAGCCAAAATCAAGAGTCAGATGCTTAATCCACTGAGCCACCCAGGCGCCCCTCAGTCTCATTCTTGAGTAATCTAGAAAACATTGCTATTATGTGGTGATCTGCTAAGGCCGATGGACTCATAATTTTTATATGGATATTATTTCTTTCAAAAATTTTGAGCCAGCATTTACTATCTTGACACAGAATTTTTAAAAAATTTGCAGGAGAGGGGGAACAATAATTATTATGTATTTTTTGTTGAAGGAGAAGAAATATAACGATGCATATGTCAGTAGCATTTGGGAGTAGATGACAATATAAAATTTTATGTCTTGCATTTTTTCCTTTCCTGTTATAAAGTATTTTCCTATACTGATTAAAAAAAAAAAGCTTTGCACCACATCATTGTAGTAAATGTACCTTCATTTGGAGCTGAACTTTTCCCCTTCCTCCCCCAGAATACATATGATTTAGTAGCATGGAAAGGGGGGCTTCTTCCGTAATTAACTGTTCATTACTCATATGGACCTTGTCAGTGCATTTTCCTCGGTGTCCTGAATGTGTCCAGGTCCTAATTGTGGGCTCTCCTTAGAGAATACATACTCACCCCAAGTTAGAGTAATTCACACGGTCGCTTATATGTTATCTACACTGGTCTCCAAAGTTACAGCCACACCTCTTAAGTAAGCTTTATTATTTTTTTTAATGTTTTATTTATTTCTAGGAGAGATAGGGAGAGACAGCGTGAGCAGGGGAGGGTCAGAGAGAGAGGGAGTCACAGACTGAAACAGGCTCCAGGCTCCGAGCTGGCAGTCAGCACAGAGCCCGACGCTGGGCTTGAACCCACGAACTGCGAGATCATGACCTAAGCGAAAGTCGGACGCTTAACCGACTAAGCCACCCAGGCGCCCCTTAAGTAAGCTTTAAATTGGGAAGGATTCATTCCTGCAGGATCTTATTTCAGAGCCTTTATCTTGGTGAGAGTAGAAGTGTCCCCTTCCTGTACCTAAAAGGAAGCAATATTTACTTAAAGCAACAACCAAATAGGACTAAGATTAAAAACAAAAAACAGAGGCGCCTGTATGGCTCAGTCGGTTGAGCGTCCGACTTATGCTCAGATCATGATCTCGCAGTTCGTGGGTTGGAGCCCCGCGTCGGGCTCTGTGCTGACTGCCAGCTCAGAGCCTGGAGCCTGTTTCGGATTCCATGTCTCCTCTCCTGCTTGCGCGCGCTCTCTCTCTCTCAAAAATAAATAAATAGTAAAAAGAAAAAATTAAAAAAAAATAATAAAAAATAAATAAAAATTAAAACAAAAAACAGGGGTCTCTGAGTCTCTCAGTTGGTTAAGCTTCCGACTCTTGATTTCAGCTCAGGTCATGATCTCACGGTTCGTGGGTGGGTTTCAGACTCGTGGCAGGCTCCGCATTGACAGCTCAGAGTCTACTTGGGATTCTCTGTCTCTCTCTCTCTCTCTGCCTCCCTCCCTCCCAGCTCTCGTGTGCCTGCTCGCTCTCCCTCAAAAGAAAGAAATAAATTTAAAAAAAAAAAACCAATAAATTGTACAACAGGAGTTTGAAGCTTACCACCCCCACCAGGAAGAAAAAAGAAACAAGATCAAAATGCTAAATATTTTATTGTTCCCTAGTGTGGTTAAATGTCAGAGATGGCAAATATTACCATCGTTTTTTGGCTCTGTAACGATCATGACCAAACAAACAAACAAACAACAACAAAAAGAAGTTAATAGCAGTTTGGAAAGCACTTGTTTTTGCGTTTTGAACCTCTCTACTATTATTGTTACTACAGCTCTCCGAGGCTAAGCCTAAGAATTCATCCAGGTTTATTCAGTGGTTGGGTGCTAGGTATTGGGTGCTAGGTAAGGAGTTTGTTCAGATCATGGGATTTGTGGAGTGGACTCTGGGATTCGAGACAGAGAGTGTGGAATTTGCTCCGAATTGAACTAGACAAGCCTAATGCATACACATCAACGTGTGCATTAATACACAGAATGGTAATAGATACATCTAAAAATGTGAAGCACGCTAGAAAAATGAATGAGCCAGAGGAAAACCCTGTGGGCAACTGCTTTTGGCCGTGGTAGGCTTGCTGGGGATGAAATATCTAACAGCGTCCCCAGTTTTACCCTCTCTCATTTTTTGCTCTTCTTCCTGACTTCACAGTGTGGTATGAGCAGAATATTAGCATCGAGTTTTCAAAGATGGATACTTCGGGTTTTTTTTTTTTCTTTAGTGCTTTATTTATTTTTTTGAGACAGAGAGAGACCAAGCATGAG